CCCCCCGAAATAAGTGCTTGGCCTTATTTTTGGAGGTCTTATTATTTTTGAGGTGCAGGAGGCCCCTTAACCTCAGCCCGTGGATCAACTGATCCGGAGAAATCCAGAAATTCTGTTTCTGGCACACTCTTGCCAGTCTGGACCTGACGCTCTTTTTGCCTCTGCAACTAAGAGAAGGGGCGCGGTAGCTAGGGTTTGTGGGAACGGCCTCTGCGAGGACATTCTGCAGGGATGGCATGTGGGGTGCGTGGGGCCTGTCCTGATGAAAGGGTGGGGACTGGCTGAGCATGCATTTACATATTTTTGGGAGGACTTATTTTCGGGGTGGGGGCTTATTTTAGCGCATGCACTTAAAAAGCCTAATTGGCCTTATTATCCGGGGAGGTCTTATTTTTGGAGAAACGGGGTATATTTTAATGCAGGGTGAAAGTTAAACAGTTTTTTAAAAGTTTCGAATATTGGTGAACAGCCAGGGAAAATACTACCTCCTCTAATATTGCCTTTTATTCTTCCTAATACATTCCAGGAATAGTAAAAGATGGAGTAACTGTTTATTTAGAGCCATTTTAGATTCTTTGAATTCAATCAGCTATAGCAGGGGTCTCCAACCCCATTATAATAATTACATTAATTGTACATATGAACACCCAATTCAGTGTGCTTTTAAACGTACATATACAGTATAATTCCAGATTTAATAAGAAAATGTTAAATTTTCTATTTTCACTTATTAAGCTTACACCTATCATTATTTCAGCTTTATATCTCTTGAGTTGTTCTGATGCTAAAATTCTGTTAATCATATAAAATCATATTTTCAATGTGTTCTGTTTGGGACTGTTTTGAAGCTGTTTCAGAAACTGCAGATAATACAAAGCATAGCAGTCTGATTACTAATTTTGGTAACTATTGTAGGAGAATGCTAGCACTGTAGTTGCTCAACTGGTAACCAAATGGGCTTCTAAGGCCTAACCTCAAGTACCTGTAATTACTTATAAAACCCTACATACTGTGTTATATCAAGGAACTTACTTTCCATGTTCAGTTCAAAGAATAAGGAAAGACAGGTTCTCTACAGGTACTTGGACAAGAAAAGCCCATGATTTATAAACACATTCCCTCTTGCATGGAACATTCAGTCCCTACTCTCCTACTGTATTTCAATATTTTCGCATTTTATTAAAGCTTATAGGCCGCCCTTTTCCCTGAGGGCCCTAAGATTGTTTTGGCTCTATAATAAGTTTGTATTACATTAAAAATTATGATACTGTAAGAGGATTTTTAAGCACAAAGATACTCATTTGTGTTGAATAGTAAACAGAGAGATATTGTATTGAAAAAAACCTTACCCGGCCAAATGGTTCAAAGATTCCACGAAGCATATCTTCAGTTATATTGAAATGTAACGAGCCTACATAGAGTCTCATGGGGCCTGCACTTCCCTTTTGTAAGTTATTAGCCATTGCTGCTGCTCTGTTTTTCTCTGCCTAAAAAAATTATATACACAGGAAACACTATAGATTACTATACACAATAGTATAAACTATGTTGCATTCTTCAAGGAAACATTTCTATGTATGTGCAAAATCCAAATCTTTCTCAGTTATATAAACTATGTAAGCTAGAGAACAAAAACATTTATATTTGAGAGCTATCTGACAACTAACACAGCTGATACTTTTATTTTACTTTCAAGTTTTTGTTTTATTTTTTTGCTAATAAAAATTGTCACATAAACAGTCTTATTATTTGTTGGCATGAAAATTTAAATAAAGTCATAAAAACTATCTTTGTCTTTCATATTGAGAAGTTACACAGGGTAGTGTCTATTGCAAAATCAATCTAAACTCAATTTCAGGATAATACATAGTTCCCAGAATTTTCCAGCAATCTTTGAATCCTTACTTCCTCTGAATAAAAGAAATGCTACTGATCAATTAATGTTAACTTCAAAATAAGCCAGCTCGTTTCTTCTAAATAGACTGGAAACCACCTGTCTTTTCATCTTATTTCTCACAAAATCCAGAATGTTAAGCCAGATCTACAGGATGTAATCAGCCAAGATGGAAAAGGATTAAGAGAATCAGTGATATCTCCACCAATTTACATGTATGATGTAATCTAGGATCTCACAAACTATTCCTATCAGTCATAACAGGCAGCTGAGATTTCAATTGATTTTGAATAATCATGAAAATACCACTAGTTTTAAAAATGTTAACTATATTAGAAACAACACATTAAGCAATATGTTTAATGAGGAATCATTTAGTCTTATCAGATCAAGCCTTATCTATTAGCACTAAAAAAAGATTTCAAGTCAAACTTACCTGAGATGCTTGTACAATAATTGGCACTCCCAACACTCGCTGTCCAGTTAATCCAATGGCCAAAGGAACTGAGCTGACATCAACAAATTCTACATAAGCAATTCCTTTTGAACGTCTTGAATTTCTATCTGATATCATGCGTACATCACGGACCTAGAAAAAAAATGAAGTATTGTTTTAATTGGTTGAAAGCTTTAATGGATTTAATATCTATATACCACTATATATAAAATCAAACCACTACTTGAAATTTTCAAACCTGATACAGGATTACTTAGTTTTCTGAGATTTTAACAACAGATTCCATCCGTATAAGAAAACTTATCTATGTTGCATTGTATATGCACACCAGGGAGCTTCCCAGAGTACATAATATATACTATATGCATGCGATGGAGAACCATGTCCAAGTAAAATTAATATCATAACAGTTAAATCATACAAGCTGGTTTATGTGAGGACCCAGACTGTGGGGGCGATATGCTGACTCTGTAAACCGCTTAGAGACGTCTGAAAGCCCTATGAAGCAGTATATAAGTCTAACTGCTATTGCTATTATATATAAAATATTTTGATAGAAGACTTTGTAATTTTCTCAAGAGGCCGATACTGGATTCCAGTTCTGGACAACTTTTGTCCAGTTTCCTACCTTCTCTTTTTACGGAAGGATTCAGGCCCAGATACGGGACAGAGGCTTTTAGATAACCTCTGGCAAGAGCAGTATGGGGATGGTGCATCCATTTAAGCTCTTCTTGACCTCTTAGCTGCCTTTGATACCACCAACCATGGTATTCTATGGGGTAAGTTTTGGTGTTGGGAGCTGGTGACAGTTTTGTGGAGAGGGTTTGGGAGGGAGGGTGGGGGGCAACCCTGGCAAATTGGCTATGGGTAGATGGTTCCTCTGTACCTGGGGGTTTGCAGACAATAGCACTGCTCTAGGCAAACCCAGTACATAATCTGGTTTGTGTGTGTGTCTTCCTGGACTCATGATTTCTGCTCAAAGAGCAGATAGAAGTCTTGTCTAGGAGGGCCTTTTCTCAACTTCAAGGTTGTACACTGACTATGCACTTTCCTGAACTGAAAAGCTATTCTTTCAGTCACTCAAGTATAATGTGCTCTATATGGGGCTACCCTTGAAGAGTATTCAGATGCTGCAACTGGTGCAGAATGCAGCAACGTGAGCCATTTTGGGCGCCCCTCAAAAGGCACATATAAATGAGCTATACCGAATGCTAGTTTTCTTATGGGTTCAATTCAAGGTATTAGTTATCACCTTTAAAGTCCTTCAAGGTATGGGACCAGAATACCTGAGAAACCGTCTCCTCCCGATTACATCAACCAGTGCCATCAGGTCAAGCAGGAAGGGAATGCTGTATGTCCTTGTCACTCAAGGAGTTTAAACTAATGAGATCTAGAAGGAGGACCTTTTCAGCTGCTGCTCCCACCCTATGGACCATCCTACCCCAAAGGTGAGGTGAGCCTCCACTCTTCTAGTTTTCTAGAAGAATATTAAGACCTCGCTTTCCAGTTAGTGAAGTGTCAGGCACGAAATACCAGGAACACAAATGAATTTCCGATTAAATTGATTTATTGCTAATGATGTTCATGCACAGGAATCTATGGTTAGCAGTATCTTGATGCTAGATAAAGGCCAACAGCATTCAGGAAAAGATGGATTTAGTCGGTTTGTGGCTACATAGACACTTTAGGGTGATTCTTTTGACTCTGCCACCAGTTTCTGCCATTCCTTCTACACATAGATACAGGATGCAGTCCTGGCGATGTCTGGTGGTCCAAAGACTCTTTTGCTGCTTTATTAATCTCCTAATCTTTGAATTTTTAACCTGGTTTATCTTCACTTGCATTTTTAACCTATTTTAACTGTTTTTAAATTATGCTTTCATTCATGTATTAATATAGTTTTATTATGCTGTTGTAATTGCCCAAAGTCACTTAGATGGGATGGATTATGTAGAAATGTAATAATAAATAAAATAAATAAATATCTCAGAACAACCCGGAAGGAATTAAAAGAACTGTCAAAGAGTTCTTCATATCATACCTTTCCTACAGTAGAGAAAAATTCTTCCAGGTCTCTTGGCCTAATTCTTGCTGCAAGCTGCATGCAGAATACTGTTCGAGCATCCCGTTCCTCTGGAGTAAGATTATCAATAGGCTCTCTGAAAAACAGTAATTATTATTGATATTATTATATCAATATAAACACATTTAAGATAGATTTGAACAGATTTGATTTTTACATTATTAAGAACACTTGTATTCAAACACAGATAAAGATTCATTAAACATGCTTTTATAAGACCGAGGGGGGGGAAGAGTACCCATGTTTCAAAAGCTATTCTCCTCCTTTCAGAATCAGGAACATCATTTCAGCCTCCAGTGAGCAATATATTTCCTGAGTGTAACTATCTCCCTTGTATTTTCACATGGACTATATTGCAAATGAAGCGAAAAGGCCAAAGCTTTCCTGGACATCTACCTATTTTAGCTTCACTTGAATGCTTTTAACTCTTGCACTGGAACATGGTGATAGCCAATGCTAACGTCTCATGCATTCTCTGTTGCAAAACCTGTCTCTGGAATAGCATTTCCCTGGAGGTTTGACTTGCCTGATCCTGCCATCTTAAGACTCTGAAACCCTAGCTTTTCCCAGATATTAGTTTAGGGAACTATGTGCTCTCTATGGGAAATAAGATTCTGGTTGATTAGCTCATTTTGCTTTCATTGTATTGGATATGCTTTAAACTTATACACTACTCAGTTGACATGAGTGACCTATAAATTTAATAAATAAATATGCAGAAGAGAAGACAAATAGATTATGGAAAAAGGAATTGGATATAACAAGAAATTTTAACCCAAACACCTATGACTAAGGGATGCCTGCAGTTTCAGTGGAGATATATATTTCAGGATAGGAATCTCACCTCTTTACAATATTATAAAAAATACTTTTAACTTCAATATATTTTAATTGATCTCCCATCCTCAGAAAAAGTTTTCTAACTTGCTTTTGTGAAATATACACATATATGCATGTTAGCAATGCCAACCCAGAATAATCCCACTGCCAATTACCTCTACACTCACAGTGTATGTGTTTTCTAGCACATTCTCTTTATAAACATAAATCCATATACATTGCAAGAGCAGTCAATCACACAGAACAGAATTTTTTAACGACAAATCAGTGTAGAATATAAATGTGTAGAACATTCAATGTTATGGAAATTTTAACATTAAGCAAGATTCAAATCCCTACCTTACAGGGCTTTTGTCTTTTCTGAAAGGACTTTTGCTCCTAGATCGACGTCTGCTATAAAAAAAAATGTACGGAATTATGAAGGGAATAAATATAAATATAAACCATTAAATCCATTATTAAAGAAAATAAGACAAACCTTATTTTCATGCTGTGTGGCAAGCCCATTTTTCCTCTCATGGCACTATTGAACTTTGGACCAGAACTAGGAGTAAAGAAGAAAGCAGTGTTACAGCCTTTATCATTCTGTTTGACATTTACCATTAAGAGATATATTCTTATTAGTATCATAACCATTACACTGCATGGTTATGAAATAAAACTGTTATTCTAATGTAATTATATTACAACTGAAGTTTCTAAAATTCTCAAGCTAAAAGTTTTACTATTTATTTACTCTTAAAGAAACCTAAAATAATAATTTAACACAACTTACTAGGGACTTCTGTAACGGCCTCTGAATCGGCGTTCTCTGCTTCTTGAACGGCTACGTCTCCGTTCTTTACTTTTACTGCGCTTTCTTTCTCGACTCTTGCTTTTTTTTCTTTCACGTTCACGGCTTCGTTTGCGCTCCTTGCTGCGGCTTCTCTTCCTATCATGACTACGACTTCTGCTCTTGCTTTTTTTCCTCCTGAACAGAACAGATTTAAAAAATCAGTTATGTTTTCAAAGAGGAAAAACATTACTAACATGTCCATATGAAATAAGATTAGGTGACTTGAAAAATGTTTGTCAATTTTAAATAAATATTACACAATATTTAAATGAATATAATAGCAATAAATTATACAACTACCTGTAAATCTCACAATTAAGAAACATATCTAAGGTTAAAAGCAAAGCCATTTAAGTGAAAAACGTATTTTAAACCAAGTGAATATATTGCTGCTTTAATCTTTACAATTCTATTTCCTTACTAAAAAGTTTCTCAGTCACAAAAGAATGTTTTAAAAATTACAAATAATTATACCTACCAAGTTCCTTTCTAGGAAATTGAGCTTCATAACTGTATCTGCATTGTTCATTTAATGACACTGGTTTTTCACTCTACTGCCTGTGTATTGTTAGATATGTTCCAAGTGGCCACTGGAGCCAGTGGCTTGGATCCAAAGGAGCCCTTCCACTAGAGGAAAGCCTCTTCCACACACAGAAGGGCTGTTTCCAACCTAGCAGAAGAGCATTATGTGAGAAATGTGAACGAAAATTGAGGTAAGTTATTTGATTTATTTAAATTACTTTAGATCTCCTTATACCCACAAATTCATTCAATAGCTAAGCCTCATATTCAGCGTCCTCACATTAGAAATACCTTCCCATATATTTGCTTTAATGGATTGGGAATTTTTTTCCATGAAGAATTAATCAAACACCACTAATGTTTCTTTGCCTCATAATTATCTAGATCCAAATCAGGTTTTTTAACTGCTATTGTTAAGTATGTGTTTATATAAATGTATTGTTTTACTAACAAATATTGGTTAATTAGATTACCTCAAAATACTGCTAAATTTAACTTTATGAATACAAACTTTAATATGAATGCAAACTGTATGCTTTATAAACACCTCAAAGGAGATGCGAGGGAGATACTAGTGGAACAGCTTGTCTTCAGAAGTTGTGGCTGCTCCATCACTGGAGTTTTAAGAAGAGACTAGACAGCCACTTGTCTGGAATGGTTTTGGATTACCTGCTTGTGCAAGAGAAATTGGGTTGGACTAGAAGACCTCCAAGATCTCTTCCAATTGTTATGCTGTTATGAGTTAATACCATTTTCTAACATAATTCCTACAAGTCTGACCAAGATGCAAAACAACACAATTCTAAGATCTAGAAATATTAATGAAATTTAATAGTTCCTATAATTTAAATATTGTTTTCAGTAGAATAAAGCTCCCAGTGAACACAAAAACACATTTCCAATTCCAACATATACAGCAGATAAAATAACTAATATTAATACAACCGTGATAGAGGCTCAAACACACAGGTAGGATCTAAGGCTGAATAACAAAGTCAGTTTTCACAGTTTTGAACACTCAGCAAAATCAGGGCAAGTCTAATCTCTGGGGCAGGGACTGGCTATTATTTTTTCCCCCAAGGGTCCACATGACAAATTTGGACTGTTATAGAGGGCCAAATCAGTAGGCTGAACACAATTCTGCTGGAGATGCCCACATGTTGACAGCAGGAGGACAGAGCCTTGGCTCACCTTGTCTGATGTTCTTTTGTCATAGAGGCAGAGAAGTTCTTTATCTCACCAGCTGACTAAAGGAGCACACTTGGCTTCTTTTACTGCCCTCTGTGGCATGCCTGTTTATATTTTATTTTCTAACTTACAACTGATGCATCTGACAGGGGCAGACAAAGGGCTGGTTGTGACCTGAGGGCCATAAAATGCCCAGGTCTGCTCTGGGTGAATAGCATCCCTCTCCTGTGAGATCTAACAGAAGAATAAATATAACAGTGAAGAGCCACTCCCACAAGTAACTCAGTTGCAAGCCTTTATAGATAACTGATAGAACCTTCAATGGAAGCCAAAAGCATACTGGCAATCAATGCAGCTTGCAGAGCACATGCTGAATAAGAAGCACCTTTAATTGCCCAGAGTGCTGTATTTAGCATCAGCTGAACTTTCCAAATGTTTCAGGGCAGCCTCAGTTAAAGTTCTTTGTAGTAGTTCAATTGGGATGTGACCAAGGCATGAGGGATTGTGAGTACAGCCTCCTGGCTGATGAATGGATGTCAACTGGTACATAACAGCTATGCAAAGGTTCTCCTAGCCATGGCTGTCATCTTTCCTTTGAACTGGAGGAGAAGGATTCCCAATTATCTATAGGTTTCGCCTGAGATAGCATAACTCCATCCAGAACAAAAGATGTTTGTTCTGAACAAAAGATGTCCCAAACTAGCAGGGGCATAAAAACTGAGACCCACTCTACCTTCCTAAATCTGAGGTGAAGCCTATATTTTCCCATCCAGATCAAATAGGGTTTGACCACATAAATGATTGGTGCTAGGTCAAACAATTTAGAGCAAAACTGCAAACAAAAAATAGCACTTCATCTTATTTTAGTGCTTTAAAACAGGAGTCCCCAACTCCAGGAGAGTCCATCAGTCCACAACATGCCAAAAAACAGCCCACGCAAACAAGCAAAGCCTCATCCGTGGGATGCAGGCAGGATACAAAACCACACTCCCTCCAGTCCGCGGAAAAACCTCTCAAAGAAACCAGTCCCTGGTGCTCAAAAAGGTTGGGGTTGGGGTTTTACAATGTTTATACAAGTAGTCCAAAACTTACAAGAGTTCATTTAGTTACTATTTAAAGCTACAACAGCCCTAAAAAACTGACTTATGACCATTTTTCACACTTATGACCATTGCAGCATTCTCCTGGTCACATGATCAAATTATGAATGCTTAGCAACTGGTTCATATTTATGATAGTTGTAATGTCCTGAGGTCATGTGATCATCTTTTGTAATTTTCTGACAAGCAAAGTGCAGAAAGTGCAGTTAAATGAAGACAGATTCACTAACCATGTTACTAACTTAATAACTGCAATGATTCACTTAACAACTGTGGCTAAAAAGATGTAAAATGGGTCAAAACTCAATGAATGTCTTAAATTATTTTAAATTATTTAAATTATTTTAAGTATTTTCAACCCCATGAAAAAGCTTCTACATAAGACATGGAGAACCCAAGTCCCATGTTGTGGCCCTAAAGCTTCCTGTGACTGATTAAAACTAAGAGCAATGTTTTGGACATTTTTTCAATGATGATAAAGTTTTGAAACAAGGTTACAAAAACAACAGTCCCTAGTCTTTTGAGGCCAATGAGCACACATGTCATTTTGATGTTCAGAGATGGCTGCTACAATGGGTGTGACTTGCCACAACCTTTATCAGAAAGGAAACTGTGTGTTGCTTCCTACCATTCTCTGTAGTTCTTTGCAAATACTGACAACTCTAATAATATATATTTTTTGATAGGTAGGTAAAGCATTGATTACAGCTACCAATCTCTTTTTATTTTTAGGAAGCATGTGCAGACTACTTAGACTATTCGAGGTCGGCTTGGAAACAAAAAAGATTTTGGAGGCTGATGCTTTATAGCATGCCAGCTTCCTTCCTCATTCCATTTTTTAGGAGCAATCTCATACATTCTGGCAGCACTTGTCTTGAATTTACTTGTCAGAATTTTAAAAATTGCTACTTTAATTATTTCCCACAATAAAGATATTATCTGCATTTCCTATAACATAGGTATTTTTAAAGGTTTAATTGAATGATGTATAGGAACAGTATTTATCAAAAAGAGAAAGTATTGCTAAATACAAAAAATATTTAAAAAGAACAGAGAACAATAGTGAATATACATTCAAAGCCTATGAATGTACACTATGTCAGTAAATATAAATACATGCTCTGTCTTATCACAGTAAAAGCAACTTACCAGACAATTCAACATAAAACATTTAAGACAAAATTTCCTTGTAAGAGAGGATTAAAAATATGGGGAAGAAACTTAAAAGTTTTATTGGAAATATACTACAGAACTGCTGGAACTGGAATTGATAGTTTATCCCTTGAATGGAAAACTAATGGAAGCTCCTATGAACAAAATACTAAAAAATTATTTTACTTAATTGATTTTCAAAAATTAAAAGAAAAAAACTCCTCATGCTTATACAGTAAAACATGACAAGGTTAAATTCATTAAGACTTCTTAACATCTAAGGCACTGAACAAACCTTAAGCAAGCAAACACATTATAAAACCTCTATCTTTAAACTATTGCTTAAACTAATTAATAGTGTATGATAAGGTAACATTTAACTTCAGAAGTACTGTTATGATGTAATTATACAACTAATGGAACAGAACTATCAATAGTTTGTTAATTTAATGGCCTACAATTCCAATCCTCTTTTGATTTTTCCAAAGGGGGAAAAAACTTTCCTCCACTCAATAAACAGCAAAATTGCATAACACCTTCCTGCCAAAATAATATTTAATAAACAGAGGAATTTTAACTAATCAGTGGTTTACCAAGCTGGTACAAAAATTGCTAGGAAATACAGATAGTCCTCACCTTACAATCATTCATTTAATGACCATTTGAAGTTGCAACTGCAATGAAAAAAGCGATTTATGACAGTTTTTCACACATTACTGTTGCAGCATCCTCATGATCATTTGATCAAAATTTGGATGCTTGGCAACTGGTTCCTATTTATGACGGTTGCAGGATCCCAGGGACATGTGATCCACTTTTTGCAACTTTCTGACAACTAAAGTCAATGGGGAAGCCAGATTCACTTAACAACTGTGTTACCAATTTAACAACTGCAGTGATTCACTTAACAACTGTGACAAGTAAGATCATAAAATGGGCCAAAACTCACTTAATAACTGTCTTGCTTAGCAACAGAAAATTTGCCTAAATTGTGGTCTTAAGTTGAGGGCTATCTGTACAACTCAATTATTAGACCAGGGGTGTCAAACTCACGGCCCGCGGGCTGCATCTGCTGAAGTAGGCATCCGTCCCGTCTCTTCCACCCACCTACCCGCAGAGGAGAATTAGAGTGCTGATCTGGTTCTCGAAGAAATCCAGTTTGACACCCCTGGTTTAGACCAGTGTTTCTCAACCTTGCCAATTTCTTCTGGCTGGGGAATTCTAAGAGTTGACGTCCACCCACCTTCAAGCTGCCAAGCTTGACAATCACTGATTTTGACAGAAGAAAATATATACCCAAATCAGCACACATTCCACCATTTCAAATAAAATTATAAAATTATAGGAGTAGGAAATGCTACCATCTATTAGAAAACAAGTAAAACTAAATAAGATTGGCTGGTTTTCAGATTTAGGCAGATTTCAAAGGACAAGGTCAAATCAGAGTCTACATAAATTTGCAACATAAAAAGAATAAACTGAAAGAATTACAGAGATTAAAGTCTGCAAATGCGTTGTCAAATTTATTTTACAATTTATCACCATTAATTGTATTTTGTTTTTACATACAGAATAAACTTAATTCAAAGTACGAAGTATATGAATGGAGGAAACTCGGATCAGATTTGTATATTCTACAAATGTGACGTAGTAGTAATTAGATTTTTAGCCTACAAAAGTATTTCACCATTACTATAACTTACTTTTTCTCTGCCACAAAGCTACTTATCTTGACTTTCCCAGTGTACAGGATGAGTAACTAGAGATGAATTAGCAACCTTAGTTTAACCGCTGAGCTCCAAATTAAAAAAACAAAAAAACTACATCTAAAAAAAAACCCTGTAATGAAGACAAGCAGGCTACTGGAATTTGAGTTAATGCTTTCTGTAATAACTTCAACATTATGAAATAATTAATGCCCTGTTTAACCTAGTTTATGTGTATTTCTCAAAGTGAAGCTAAACTAGCCTACACTGGGAATAAAACCATTCCATTATATTTTGAACAGTAAGAAGCTCTAGTGCCGGGATGGTGAACCTACGGCACGAGTGGCATGCGGAGCCATTTGTCAGGGCACGCAAGGCGTTGCCATGTCAGCAGGCCAGCACACTGGCCAGCTGAGTTCTGCCTTTTTTAAAGCCATTTTCTGCCCTCCCCAGGCTCCAGAGGCTTTATAGGAGCCTGAGGGCGGCGAAAAAAGCCTCCCCTCCTCCGAGGCCCTTGGAGGCTTCAGGAGCTTCCCTAAAGCCTCCGGAGTGCAAAAACCCAGGCAAACCAGAGGTTTTGAAACTAAAAACAACCATACGATTTCTGGTTTGCTCGTAGTGTTGTTTTTCCTCCTCTGGAGCCCTCAGGGAAGCCTCCGGAAGGCTCCGGAGGGCTTAAACCAGCTCTATGAGCAAACCAGAATTCTGTTCCCGAATTTCTGGTTTGCCCATAGGGCTGTTTTTTTGTGCTCCGGAGGCTTCAGGGAAGCTCCTGAAGCCTCCGGAGGGGTGGGGAGGCTGTTTTCGCCCTCCCCAGGCTCCTATAAAGCCTCTGGAGTCTGGGGAGTGTGAAAAAAGCATGCAAAAAATGGGTTTGCGCCTGTCATGCGCGCAGGGGGGTCGTGCATTGCATTATGGGTGTGGTACACACTCCTGCACTCCCCCCGCTTGTGGCACATGAGCCAAAAAAGGTTCGCCATCGATGCTCTAGTGTATTCTGAACTTGTACAATTAGAAGTTTACCTTAGCTGGAGATTCATCTATAAAAATTTAGTAAATTGTTTCCCTTCGTCTTTACAACACAGAAATATATTTTTAAAAAATAAAGCAATGTTTATTCCAATATGGTTATATGGCTTGCAAGAAAGATATTCAATTGAAGGAGCCTAAGGAAAGAGTGGGGTATTAAATTTTCTACTATGAAAGTCAGAAGACCATCGTAATTTTAAGTTAACAGTTATTAATATAATCACATTACCTCAAAAATTACTATAAAAGCTCAGTTTTCTAAATGGACACTCAGTTGGGGAATTTCATATGCAAGCACAAAATGTGAACTTGGACTTTTTCAATGTTCATATCATCTATATAATTTTGTAAACATTTAAACTAAACTAAAATGGACATATAAATATTTGAGTTAGAGGCAATCTTCCCCTTTCAATTATCTTCATGAAATTGAGAGTATGTTGTATTGTAAACATTTTATCTCCTGAAAAGATGGTCTTTTGTTTTGGAGAGAAAGAGGAACAAATGCTGGGAAGGATGTAAAAATGAAAACATTCAAATGTATACAAAACCCCTTGCTACTTTTTTCCTACTATCTTAACCAACCTGAAAACCGAATTACAAAAACTGAATTAGGGAGGTTAGACATCCAAAGTTATCAATAAAAACGTGAATGCTTTATTAAGCAGAAGTATATATTTAAACAGCCAGCAAATACTTACTTCTTACTTCGCTCTTCATGTCCATTGGCACTGCTCAATTTGTTCTCATCCTAAGCAGGGTTGATAGAAGAACATCATGAGGACGAAGTGGAAACATTTCAAGTGGTCAAAAGGGTAATGGGGACAGGGATAAGAAAATACAAAACAAAAATTTAATACTAAATTTTACATTCAATATGGAATGCTACTAATTAAGGTAGACTTTTTAACCACTTTGCTGCTTACATTTAAGTCATACAACTATAAATAGCAAATTACTATTTAAAAATGATTTAAATTATACAAACTTTCTTACAATGAAATAAAGCCATCCTGCAGTTTCCAGCACTGAAGTGGTTAAATGATAAAATATAAACAAGAAATATCAAGTTTAAAAGCACATTCATATGCTATAATCCCATTTGACCAATACCAAGGCTATATTTCTGCCTAAGCCCCAAGTGACCAAGCTAGCAGCCAGCCACTATCGATTTCCTGTGACCGATGCCATTCCTGAGATCTTCGCCCATTTTCGTTGGAGGGTTGGGACTGTAAGAGCTTGATGCCACCTCTGTCACACATCTCGCCCTGAAGCAAACAGGGATTCACACTGCTTTAGTAATGTCGACTCCCAAGTCATTCATCAAAAATCCAACCAGTCCAGCCTAAATATTTCCTATTTTCAAACCTGTTTACATGGAAAATATCCATGTTAAACTAGCATACAATATACTTAACATTACAATTTATATTCATTTCAAAATTTTACATAAGTACTAATTACATAATACTAAAACATGAACATTTAAAAGGTTACAACACTTTTCCAAATCTCATACCGAAGAGCTGCACTAAATATACTCCAAAATCAACTAACAGTTGCTGTTATGTTTATTGTAGTTATCACACCAGTTACACCATGAGTTCAACTGCACATTAAGTTTTAAATATATATATATATATAAATTTGTGAAGCCAGTGCTACTGCATGCATAATTTCATAGTTTTCTGAAGATCTGGTGAAATCTATATATATTTGCTCCCTATTTAGTTCTGAAGCTAGGTACTCGGAAGCGGAGAAAGGTAAAGATTTCTAAGAAATTACTAGATAAAAGAGTACTCTGTCACAATCAACGTAGTTCGAAATATCTTTCATGTTTACTATGATGTGAACTATTCAGGGATCCAAGAATTTTGGAAACAACTTTCACATAACACTTTGATTACTGTCTGGTGTTGCTAAAAAATTAATAACCCATCCTTAAAAAAAAAAAGCTGTAACTCCTCTTGCATTACTAAGCAGACTAAAGATTTGTTTGTCATGAACTTAGGGAAAAAGTTATTCTTGGAACCCTGCTGTTTGCCCAAACCATTGCATTCACCTTCTTGGTCTATCAAAATTGAGGTGGTAGTCTTTAGGAGTGCTTTTGTTCGTTTGTTTGTTTTACCTAGGGGGACCACGGTACAGCGATACGTCACTCAATTACTACCTTATGATTGACAGTTCACACTGGAATCAAAGGTGAATTCATGGGAGTAGAGGTGAGATATCGTTAGGCAAGTCTACAAAGAGAGATAGATGGGCATTTATTCATCACGCTGAAGTGAAACTACTGCACAATATAATTACATTAACAGCATTTAGTTACTGGTAAGATACACGTAATGCATGTCCAATAAGATAAATCATGAGGGCTCCAGGGATTTTAGTTTATAGTTCAGCAGTAGTTTCATGAATAATGCTAAACGAATATTGCTAAAGAACTTGTTAGCATATCTTCTCACCTTCTTAAAGGGGGCTTCGAGCATTGCTTCAATATCAATATCATCAGCCATTTTTCAGGGCACCTAGAAAAAAATAACATCCTTTAGTCAAGAATCTACTTCTGTATTTGTGATCAATTTAAGATTTAGTGGTACCACATTTCCGAAGGATGTTGTTCTATAACTATGCACTAAGTACATCTAAACTGAACTTATCCATGTATTTAGTACTTTTCTCTCAAAGAATGAGTTAATTCCTACCTTAGAAAGTACTTCAGAAACATGTATGCTACACAACTTTTTAAAAATGAATTTATGATTTTATAATTTATGAATTTCTCACTGTAGATTTCACATAATTATTGCTAAATGTAGCTCATATTGCAACTGTGGTATAGAAAGTCAGCTTCTTTGTTCTATACCAAACCTAAATTTTAATCATGGGCAAGCAATGCAAAGGATACAGATCCTAAACAGATCATAAAAATCCTGTACTGAAAGTAGATAATGATTTTTTAAGTCTAATCAAGTTACTATCCTTAACCACTGGGATTTGTGAAACTGTGCTCTTGGCGGTGATACATGTATGTTCTTCTAAGTAAACAAAATGAATCTTCATTATCACTTTTGGTGAAGTCTAAATGGTTCCTTACTCGAAGAGTCTATTCATCTAACATATTTCCTTGAAATTTATTTCAAATGTAATTCATGTGATGCTACTGCCTTACCTCCAAGGTGTGGGAGAAACATCCCTATGATGGAAAAAAGCTCATTAGAGCTTCAGATTGGAAGTTCCTCATGAATTTGATGATTTCCTAATTCCCCGAAATCTGCCATGAATCATTGACTCCTTGGGTCAAAAATTCGAAACAGATTAGTCAAGCTATCTTAATAACCACTTGTATGGAATTAGTATAGATTCTCAAATGCAAACTTGTAATATAAGCTTCCAAGTTTGTCATAACAATTATGACCAAATACTTCAGTGAAATGAAAAGGTTACAAGTGGCAATTACTATATATAAGATGAAACTAGAATTTCCAAGTATGGAAATTGAAATACAGATGTACATATTATCTTGCTTTTTACTACTACCTTTTGAGAAAATAGTGTAAAGACAGAATATATGATGAAATGCATGCTCATTATTGAATTCAGGAAATATGAAAAGATTTGTCACCAGTTACAGCAACAATTATATTTCTATTCAGATCTCCTATACAATGTACGATTTCAAACTATTATAACACTTTACTGTTAACAATTTGTAAAAATTGCTGTAACAATTTTTCACCTTTTCCAAAAACTAAAAATGCATATTACACATATACCAAAGTGATTATAAAATCTGCAGGGTTGCAGAGTTATTTGGATCCAAAGTGTACACATTTGAAGAAATGTGGGGACATGAAAAGTATTCATTAGCATCTCCTAGGAAAATACATATTTGAGTAAACAAATACTTTATGGTCATTGTGAGGCCCATAAAAAGGCACAAGAAACCCCATGTGAAGGCACCAGCAAGCCTTTTTACATTTGAAGATTCATATCTACTTTGGATCCAAATAGCTGCATATTGCTATAAATTTGCCATTTAAGTTGAATGAGAGAAATTCTCAGGAAAACTTTCAATAAATGTAGAATCCAATGTAATGAAAGAAATATTAAAGTTGCCTCAGACGATCATCTTCTGTGACATGATACTCAATTTATAGAACTACTGTGCTCATATATTATCTACCTCTGAAACAAATATCTACCAGAATATATAACTGCTACTGCTATGTAGAAAGCAATATCTTCAAAAATCCTGTATTTAAGTATCATCATCCAGAATGTCCCATTAAACATTCACAGCCCTATAGGAAGAGAAAAGAAGCAGTACTGTGTAGAAAACATTTCTAAGCATGTCACAGAAATAAAATTAGGGATACACTTTCAAATTATGTCCAGCAATTGATTAAATCTGTATCAAATAACTTCATACTGGCATATTAGATAGTAGAAATGATAGTAAGAATAAATATGACTACACAAATCAATAAGTTGCAACACAACTTATTAAGAATCCAAAGGTCATAAGCCTGTTGGAAAATGAGCAACTAAACCCAGCAAATATCCCAGCTCTTGATATTTGGATGAAAATATAACTATTTGCAGAAAAATACTGCTTAAGTTTTAGTACTTGTACAAGTAACAAATTGTGATCTTCTCATGCTACATTTTAGGTTTAAATAAAGTACACTTGAACTTTAAAATATTTTCAACACTGTCCTAAGTAATATGGCGAATAAACAGCATGGGATAGGGGAATGTGACTTTTAAATGAATACTACAGAGTTTGACACCAGACAATTTAGCAAACTCACATTGAGGGAAACCTATCCTCAAACAAAAACAGTATTGGAAGATCTGCCATTTTATATATGGAAAGAACAGAACTTATTAACCCCCACTCCCATCCAAGTCTGTTCTAAAAATGTATTCTATTTCTTTGTTTGAACATATAAAAGTTCGATAAGGTAATCTGATTAATAAACATTATGAATTACAATTTTTAAAGATGTTGAAATAGGCCTATAGCGCTATAGTACACTAGGCATAGATACTGTGCTATATTATAGAGCAGTTCAAAAATAAATTTAAGAACTTCTCAAGCACTTCAAAGAAATGTCAGGTATTCATGGAAATATGGGAAAAAAAGGACTGTTAGAAATGCTGGCTTTCACTATAGTAAAAACAGTGCAGCAAAAAAGCTAGCAGTATTATAATTAGCATGAGATACAATTAAATAATATTCTCATAGAGAATAGTATTTACCCAGTACTGTATCAGTCCTATATCTTTTTTTTACAGAATTAGTTATAATTTTAACAGAAAGCATAAGTTCTATGTGCAAGTATTATAAATTAAAAATTATAATAAAAATGTTATAATATAAATGCTTCAAAATGTTTTTGAAAATTAAAAAATGATGTAGTCCAAACAGAGCAATTCAAATATCCCAGGCAATATAACTAAAATTATTCAAGTAAACAGGAATATTAAAATATACAGATTTAGTCTGGTAACAAGGAAGTCAGAACTCTGATGGTATTTGCTTAAAAGCCTTTCTTAGGTTAAACTACACTGTAGTTTATATATATATATATATATATCACATCACACTCACACACATACAGAGCAGAGATATTTATTTTCCATCTATTAAAGATATACTGATCTGGCCAATTAAATATTAGTTTTGCTTTTTGGCAATCTGGCCTTTTAGTGTAGAATCCAAACAGTTAATTAAAACAAAACCATATAGATAATGCATTTTCAGAAGCAATATCTCCAACATATCATAATCCACCATAAGACTTAGCACAGTAATCTACAATTCACACAAACAAATTCAGGTATAATTCTCTAAAGAGACCTTGTCCCATACCCAGGTTGCAATAAACCACTGTTGAAACTTTTGTGCATTTCAAAACTAGTTTGTGACTTAGTAGGCCTGGGTTAACTACAAAATAAGATCAGGTTTTTAAGAAAGATGGGTTGTCGTTTTTTACTAAACATTGTCTAGTTACATAAGTGAAATGTTTTCAAATTGTAAAGCAAAAAAATGCGTGCATTTACTTATTTAAAAATATAAAGAACTACACATTTTTGGGAAACAAACCACGTGTACGGATTTAACCTCTGCAGCTATATACCGTAGAAAGTTCGTCATCTCCCCCCCCACCTGAAGATCTTCGGCCCAATAACTGTTCAAAAAAAAATACCACGGTAGTAAACAGACTTTCTACTCTCCTTCCAGTAGTTATTACGATGGCTCTTTACTAAGCGCCCTTATTCTCTCGGGTCATCAGCCTTTCGTTAATACACAACAGCACACACTGCGAAGTTTTAAGGCCCTTCCCGCGAGAATATCTAAAGCAATAAAGAAATAGTTAGGAATCTTGTGGCGAAATATATCCCGATCATAATCATGAGACTCAGGAAAAAGGTCTACTCCACGAAACCTTCCGCGCGGAAATAAAAACACTATTTCCAAAACTAAACCATACCATTCGACTTCCCTCGTTTTCTCCCGCCACCCCCGGGCACCACGTTGAGGCCTGTACACCCCCCCTCCCCCGCCACAGGAGCTGGGACTTCCAGTCCGGTTGACCAGACCAGTATTAAATCGAAGACAAAAAGAAATGGGCCCGCCACCGAGAAGGCCTAACGCAGACACCCTTAAGGCTCGCAGAACCCGCGCTGCCATTTCCCCAGAATAATTCATAAGAGAGCCGTCAAAAATATGGAAGCTATTACCTGCGCTGCCGGCCTCTCGCTTCTGCTCAGGTGTTTATGAGGCGGAGGGATACTGCCACGGCCGTCGTTTGCTTGCTCCGGGTCCGGATACGCGTGAGGAGAGGGGCGCTGGCCCTTAAACGAAAAAATTACCTCAGCAACAAGAGCAGGCAAAAAAAAGCTACACTAAGAATGACCTCGAAAAATCAGCGCGAGTAACGCAAGGAAGCTTCGCAACAAGAACACACGGGCTCCGCTTTAGCAAAGGCGACTGCTCCCTGAAATGGCGCCCGCCGCGTCCTGATGCTTGGAGGAGGATCTGTGTTGCCGCTATGGGGATGCCCAGACCTTGCTGCACGGGCTCTCGCGAGATTTCCGTTCCAGTCGATTGTGTGTACTACGAAATTCTCGCGAAGAATGTGTATCTCGCGAGGAAGGCGTTCGAAGAAAGCAATTCAACAAGTCGCAAGAGCGGTACGTTGTTTATCCAACCGCATCCAAAACCGAGGTCGATGCCATACGTGGTTAACATTCTCGCGAGAAGTTGTGCAATTCTCCGCGTCATAAAAGGAGGCAAAAATATTAGGCTCTACGTAGTAGGTGGAATGGCTTGACTTTACGGATGCCAATTTTAAAAAAAACCGGTTGAAAGGGTTATATGTGTTTTAAAAATTGTACGTTCTGAGTTTGGTAGACTTGATTTTGAATGGTTTATTATTTGGAGAATAATGTCATTGTGAATATATTGCAAATCCTAAATACGTAATTGCTCAGTAAGACATTCATGGAAATCATTCAACTATCCTTAGGTAAATAAATACTACAATTATAAATACTATTTAAATAAATAGGGGAAACAGTGCATAAGATCTTCAACGTAAGTTGTTCACCTGAATTGTCTATCCATCCACCTCAAAATTGAACAGGAACAAATTTGGTTTGATATGGCAGATTAATATATTCCATCAACTTGTTATCAACAGCCACATAAATTTTCTTCATGAAAATCTGTTCCCAAGAGACAAGACCTTTCAAGTATTCCATCAATACACCTATCGTTGCTATGATTGAATCCACCCACCATGCTATTGATAGTCGTCTTTTTCTAGATTTATAAGTTACAATATTTCTTTGCCTAATGTGTTTGTGTATTATACTTTAAGACTAGCTGTCCTCTAAAGATGCTTTTTTATTTTCCTTGAAGACGTTTCGTTTCTCATCCAAGAAGATTCTTCAGTTCAAGTTCGGAACTGAAGAAGCTTCTTGGATGAGAAGTGAAACGTCTTCAAGGAAAATGTCGTCCAGTTGCCTTTTGAAAAAGCACTTTTGAACAATAATGACTTGGATGACTAAGAATCTCCATAGGCCAAGTGTCTGCAATCTGCGGCTCCGGAGTCACATGCAGCTCTGAAGGCCCTCTATTGTGGCTCCCTGTCAGGTGATCCCACTTCTGGCTGGCCCCGCCCCTCACCCTCCTGGTCACTCCTTGCCTGTGAAAAAGTAAGGGCAGTGTTGGGGAATGGAGAAGCAGCCGGGGCTGATTTTCCGCCGCCTCACTCTTGCTGGAGCTTCTCCCAGTTAGTACTGGAAGTGCCTCGGTCACTTGGGGAGACACGGGTGGGAATGGGATCTGGGAAGAGGGGATGATGGAAAGGGGGACAGGCCCGCAATACTCAGCCATGACTTTAAAACTTGCATGGGGGACGTTTGCCACCAAGAGGACACTTTACAATGAAAGCTGGCGGCAGAACCGTTTCACTGGAGGAGTAAAGAAGCTCAGGGCAGTGGAAAAAGGGGGCTGGCCCCGCTGAACCTCGCACGCCCACCCTGGTGGGTCAGGCTCTGAGAAAGCTGGAGTGTCCTCGCCAATGATGCTCATCCATCAGCTGGTCTCTCTGTATCTCTATGTCTGTCTGTCTCTGCCTGTCTGTCTCTGCCTGTCTGTCTGTCTGTCTGTCCCTCCCTCCCTCCCTCTCTCTCTCTCTCTCTCAAAGCTGAGACTGAGGCAACCCAGTGAGCTCTCCTTGGGGCTCTTCGCTGCTCCTTTTCTTTCTTGGCAACTTTTTGGAAATCCGGGCTGACTGAGGAACGAGCACAAGCCATGGGGGAAGCTTCCCTTCAGGTGACTCTCCCCCTCCTCCTCTTGCAACCACAGCCGGCCAGAGAGAGACATAGAGAGAAAGAGAGATACAGAGAGAGAGGGTGGATAGAAGGGGAGAGAGGGAGATACAGAGAGAGATACAGAGGGGAAGAGAGAAGGGGGGAGAGAGAGAGGGAGAGGGGGAAAAGACAGAGGGGGGGAGAGAGAGAGACACGGGGAGAGAGACACAGAAAGGGGGAGAGGGAGAGAGATGTCAAAAAGGTTTTGTGGTTCTGGGTGTTTTTTAACAACTGGTTTTCTGCCATAATGACCAGCTGGGTAGGTGTGGCTAGGGGCTCATGTGACTGGGTGGGAGGGAGTGACATCGAGTTGGCTGGTCAACTGAGGTTTTGTGGCTCCCAGTGTTTTCTGTGGGAAATGGGTCCAAATGGCTCTTTGAGTGTTTAAGGTTGTAGACCCTTGCCATAGACATTTGAAACTAGCTATTTACACATTAAGTGTGGACTCTGAGTTGATTAATGGTATTCCAAGAAGATAAAAGACTTCTTGAACACCAAAGTTCAAAAGCATCAATATTCTTCTCATTCTGTTTCTTCAAACTCCCAAGTGTGAAAAGAGGAACTGACAAATGTCATTAATACTCCCATGGGACTAGAAGGTAGGTTTCTATGAATGAAGGATGCAGTGGTACCAGCACTTGCTCTATGATCTTTTCAAATGCATCCTCCATTGATACCAGCTCTGCAAGCCTACATTTGATACTGTCATAGAAAAACAGCATTCAGTCCCATGGAAGTATTGATGCTGTTGGAGTAAGAAACACCAAAATGCCAAATTGTATCTATTATACATTCAGCTAAAGGTTTCTGCTGGAAGTTCTAGAGTGGAAGTCGGGAACCTGTAATGACCTCTGCCTTAGATCACTCAGATTTAAGCAATTATTGTGACAATCCAACCCAAAATGCTCTGTCCCTTGACTATAAGAATTCTGGTTCAATATATTTTGCTGCCCAAACTGAACTTTGATGACTTTTAATCTGCACTGGACTTTGACCACACTATTGCTTACTAATTCTATTGTGTCTTCTTCTGTTTCTGACACTAAAATGCTAGACTGCTTTGAAAGTACCAGCATAACACATATTTCTTGTCCACAAGTAGCATGGGTTTGGTTACACATTTATTATAATTATTTGAAGTGGAAATAGAACTATAAAACAAATTATGGTAGTCTAGTAGCTATAGAATTATAACGTGTTACTTTATTTAAAAACTATTCAGACACAAAAATTAACCTGGTTGCTCTATTTTTTCCATTAATACCATTTTCCCTCTCCAAAATCCAATGATACAGCAAATCTGAAAATTAATGTGTCAAAGCCCAATGGGCTTCTAATGTTATCACAAATATCCTTTAATTTATCCATACATTAACCAAGAGTTCATCATACGCCCTTTTCTTAATTCTTGCTCACTAAAGAATTATTGCTAGTACTCAATTTATTGTCTGGCATAGTTTACTTCTATTACATTCTGCTTTTACCATGTTCAGCAACCAAACTTCAAGTTTTTATTCATGCATACCATTTCATGTTCACTTTTATCATATTTTCTCTAAACCAAAAGTATACACTAAACTTAATTTCTGACATGAACATATTTCTCAATTAGTTGCTAAAGATCTCACCATTTTCTGACAAAAATACATGTGTTTGCTCAGGCACAGGTATGTACAGTATTGGTAAAATCAAAGTTGCCTGTGTCTCTAAATGTTTATTTAAATGGGTTGGTTCTACTGCATAATGGCATATATACAAATCATCCAAAACTGGGATTTATGACACAAGAAGACAATAGGCAGAAGCAGAGCTTTGGTAAAAAGCATAATTTATATTCTTTTATTTAAGTTATTTTAATCTTCTATATGAATATGCTACCATAATACCATTTTGGTCTCTTAAAGGATGTATTCTGGAACTATGACATAGTAAGCTACTTAGACTATTGCAGTATTCTTTTATTTATTGTTGGAAATAAATGTTAGCTTTTCAACTCATGAGAACACCTACAATGCTTTCTTACTTCACTCCCAACAGAATTAAAAATTATTTTTTTATCCAGCACAGGAAAAAAAGCTTAATTGTGAACAGAGTTTAAAGTGTCTACTGTTTAATAGGTTTACTGCTCAGTACAGTGACAAAAATATTTAAAGGAATGCAAGAGTTTGCAATCAGCCCACATGTAATACAGAAAGGCAAAACAAAATACATGTCTGTGTGTGTGTGTGTGTGTGTGTGTGTGTGTGTGTGCATGCGTGCGCACACGCGCACACACACCGAGCAGGGTAGGGGGGGGGGAGAGAGAGAGAGAGAACAAAGAAGGTTGGAAATCTGTCATACCTTTCCTGACCTCAGAATAGTTGGTTTGCTATGTTTTTTTCAAAAAAATTTGTACTACCAACTAGATTTACTGCAGAGTATATAAGGATGCATAGAAATGAAACATTGGCAAGATTGCATGACAAATAAATGCATGTATAGCAAACTTGTTAATTATTTTCAATTCATTTGATGGCTACTAATATTACAGGTAGTCCTTGCCTACCAAATGCCTCATTCAGCAACCTTTTGAACTTGCAATGGGGCTGAAAAAATAATGACCAGGGCCCACCTTTTCAGTATCCCTGTCTCATGATCACCATTACATTCTTTATGTGTTGTCCTGTGCCTGCGTTTTTCTCCCTTCACTTTCCAGAGTAGAGATATTGGAGAGGAAGAG